ACATCTCATCCTTACATAAGATCGATTGGGACCCACCCAGATTAGGGTCCGGAAATTTTGAAAAAGTCAAACTCAAAGCAAATACAGCCACAACCCGAGCAGAAGCGCTCCGTGGACGACGCAAACCTCCGGCCGAAAAGGACAACTCGGAAATGGACGTGGACCAACCTGACGAACTAGAAGAATTGGTTCAAGACATTCCAGCCACTCGGAAAACTCCGGGACAAATCTCGGACGCCCAAGGAAAAACACCGGCGCAAAAAGGAGACAAGACCGCGGAATCAGCACTAGTCTCGGAATTGGATAATTTAAAGATACCAACTACGTTTTCACAACTCACTTCGATTTCGCCCACATACGCTCAAGAAATTATCAAGAAACTTCAAAAACGAATTCCGGAACATAAGAATTCCAAGCTAACCTACGTAAAAGACAACAAAACCGATCCAAAAGTTTCCGCTTCAATGCTGCTCAATCAAGATGAGGAGGAGCGGGAATACAACTGTTTCTATAGTTGCGCGCTAGGATACATTGACACTCACATTGCAGGGAAGAAGATACCATTTATGGTGGATTCTGGTTCAATGGTCAATGTAATCCCCAGACAAGCGGCAATTGACCTGGATTTAGAAGTAGTAGAAGTTGACATACCAATGAAGGGAATTGGCGGGGATCGATGCGATATAAAGGGTGTAGTGGAAAACTGTGACATTAGTATTGGCCGATTCACCGGCCCAGTTCATTTATTTGTCTCACCTCAAGCGCAAGACTGCATCCTTGGACGACCCTTCCTTTTCGATTACGATTGTACACTGGATTATCCCGGCACTGGTGAATTACTATCTTTTCAAGGCGATAGTGGACGGCGAATCACGGTACCTATAGCAAAAATAGGACAAGGGCGAGGCTGGAATCAACTCAAGAACCTTAACCCTTCAGGATCAGCATACTCCCATGCTTACCAAACACAAGCTCCACTGTCGGCAACATTATCATCCCACTTTTCAGACCACTCGGTAGAGCTTTCGAAAACCCGCAAAGTCATGAAAAAGTTTGGATGGATCAAGAAATTTTGCGTTCAATTTAAGAAGAAACCAATTCAGAAGAAGAAAAGTCCTATACAGATTCTGGTAACAAAAACCCAAGACGAGGACTTACGAATTAATAGCTTGCTGGTGGATGGATTGGGCAGCACAGTGCAAAAGGATATGTGTAAAAACTGGAAGGAGGACAACTTGTGGTGTATGACCAAATACAAACCAGTTGCAAAGAAAGTCCGACCAGTAAACCAAGCCATGCCCCAATCAATCAACCCACCTTTGCAGAGACCTCAGTTATCAAGAGACCCCTACAAAACACCGTTATCACCAAACCCACCTAGTTTTCAACCAACAAAGAAAATTACGGAGGAGCGGCTGGGCGTAATAAACTTTGGACCTGAAGGATGGTTATGGCCAGAAGAAATTAAACTTTTTAGACATCTTATTGTGCTACGAGAAAAAGCCTTAGCATTTTGCCCTGCGGAAAGAGGACTTCTGAAACACTCGTATGGCTTACCTTACGTCATCCCGGTGGTTGACCACATACCATGGCAGAAGAAACCAATCCCAATCCCAGCAGCAATCAAGGACGAATACGCCGAATTGGTACGGGAACGAGTTCGGACTGGTTTATACAAACAATCAACTTCAAGCTACTCGAGTCCAGTATTTTGTGTGGCCAAACATGATGGAAAGTTGAGAATTGTACATGACTTACAAGAAATGAACAAAGTAACAATCAAAGATGCAGGGCTGCCTCCTGCAACTGAGGAATTTATTGAATCCTTTGCAGGGAGGGCTTGCTATGGTCTTGGTGACATCATGGGAGGTTATGATCAACGGGAATTAGCTGAAGAATCACGACCACTCACAACCTTCGACACCCCACTAGGACGATTTCAACTCACCCGGCTTCCTCAAGGCGCGACAAACTCGGTAGCAGTTTACCAGGCTCAAATGATGTGGATTCTGCAAGATGAGATCCCAGAATTTGCGGGGGTATTTATCGACGATGGAGGAATTAAAGGACCACGATCAACCTACGGAGGACAAGTATTAACAGAAAATCCAGGAATTCGACGTTTTATATGGGAATATGCAATAACCTTGGAACGCATACTGTTCAGGGTTGAAGAAGCAGGTCTCACAGTATCGGGCAAGAAATTTTCCTGCTGTGTTCCGGCTTTGGACATCGTGGGACACGTGGTTTCTCACACTGGAAGACGAGTCTCTAGTCAAAAGAGAAATAAAATTTTAACTTGGCCAACACCATCTAACCTTACGGAACTGCGAGGATTCTTAGGCTTAATCACTTACGTACGAATATTTATACAAAACCTGTCTGAACTTGCATCCCCATTGAGGCAACTTACCAGAAAAGAGAAAGAATGGACATGGAGTACAAGTTGTGATCAAGCATTTGAGCGGTTAAAGGAAATTGTTGGAAAAGATATTGTGCTCAAGAGCATCGACTACTCAAAGGACGCAGGACTGATCAAGCTAGCAGTGGACTCAAGTTTTATTGCAGCCGGGGCAGTATTAATGCAAAACGAACTCGACACCGGATTGGATCGACCAGTACTTTATGAATCAATAGTATTTTCACCTGTGGAATCAAGATATTCTCAGCCCAAATTGGAATTATGTGGGGTATCAAGAGTTTTGAAGAAATTGCAGACTTACCTCTGGGGTCAACATTTTGAACTACAAGTGGATGCAAAATCTTTGATACAAATGATCAACTCCCCATCTCTTCCCAATGCACCTATGACGCGTTGGGTGGCTTTTATTCAATTATTTTCTTTTGACATAGTACATAAACCAGGAAAAACATTCACCTTACCCGACGGACTCTCACGAAGGCCTATATCTAGCGACGAAGAAGAATTTTACCAGGACCAAGAAGATTTTGACGAAGAAGAACCAGTAGTCAAACCCTGCTACACTTTCAAGATCTGTTCTCATTCAGAAATACTAGAGATGAAAGATTGGGAAGCACCAGGATACTGGAGGGAACTTCGTCATTATCTGGAAACACTGGAACAACCTGTCACAATGGACAGAGTGGAATTTGCAAAACTTGGGCGAAAATCAGCAAGCTTTTTCAGCAGGGACGGACGACTTATGAGAAAACACTCACCAGCACCCCAGATTGTAATATCCAAAGACACCTATCAAGATAAACTGCTCAGGAAGGTACATGAAGAATTAGGGCACAGAGGACTTGAAGAGACATATCAGCGATTAGTAACCAGATTTTGGTGGCCAAGTTTAAAGAAGAAGGTCAAGAAATGGGTACAAAGCTGTGAAGCATGTCAGAAACGAGACCCCCTGGTACCAAGAGAAATCCGGAATGCTACTGGTGACAGTTATCTTTTTGGACGTGTAGCCTTAGACGCCTGTCACATCAAGGCAGGACAATATAAATATCTGATTGTGGCTTGGGATGATTTGTCTGGATGGGTTGAAGCGAGCACCCTTTAGTTAAACTTACAGCAAGCAATGTGGCCAAATTCCTTTTGGAATCCTGGGTATACAGATATGGTTCCATCAAATCAGTTACTGTGGATAATGGCGCAGAATTCAAAGAAGATTTTATTGAAGCTGTTGAGAAAACTGGGGCTAACCTAAAATTCACGACACCCTACTATCCTGAGGCTAATGGAATGATTGAACGTGGACACCGACCAATTAAAGACGCACTGGTTAAACTATGTGGAGAATCTGGCGGAAAGTGGCGGGAATATCTTCCATTAGTATTATTTTCAGACAGAATTTCAACTAAACGAACAACAGGGTTTACCCCATACGAGCTAGTATTTGGACATTTACCTGTATTACCAGTGGACCTTGAAATGGATACATATCTAGGCATTGATTGGTCAGAAATAAAATCAACAGCAGAACTCTTAGAAGCCAGGACCTTGCAATTAGAAAGAAGGGACGTACTTTTGAAAGATGCTCACGAAAAATTGATCAAGTCAAGAGAAGATTCAGTAAGATACTGGGATAGGAAAATGGCCGCAAGATTACGAAAGCCTTTGAGCGTGGGAGAATTTGTCCTAGTTTACAACAAAAGTTTAGAGGACCAATGGGGAAAGTTATTTGACAATCGATGGAATGGCCCATTTAAAATCAAGAAACAATTACCCAAAGGATCTTACTTACTTGAGGAATTAGATGGGACAGAGTTAAACCGCTCATACGCAGCATCTCATATCAAAAGATTTTATCCTAGAGGACGCAGCTTAAATGAAATTACGGAAGACGAGGAGGACCCTGAAAGTGGGAGCAATTCTGAAAGAAGCCAAACTAGCTCCATGGATGAAGGCTCTCAAGAAGGATCTGATGATCATAATTCCCAATCATGCTGATTACCTCCTGGGCATGAGACTAAACTGTTCACAAACAAATAACATCCCATAAAAATAAATTGGTATAAGTATTAAATTTTCTTTAGCACTAACTAAATTTTCCGTCTCTCAGAAAAAAATTTTTTAGCAACACTTACATTTTTTTCCAGAATACAACTCAAGGCACTTTTTTTTACCAGACAACTCCTTCAAGATGGCCAACTAAACTTTTAAATGGCTCTTAGACTCAGTGTCATTTTTGTGTCTCACTCTCCAGATTTGCTCTCACTTCTTAGGTTGGGGACAACCACTTTTAAGTTGGGGGAGGGGTATGGGAGGTAGATTGCAAAAAACCAGACAATTTGAGGTAGTGATAAAAACTTAAAAAGATACAAATTTTTTTTTTTTTTGGCTTTTTGAGTTATACAAATTTTTTCTAGGTTTAAGTATTTTCTACTGATGTTTTTGGTTTTAGGAAGATTTTTTACCCCTGGGATCTGAACTGTCCATGCAAAGGAAAATGGCAGTAACTAACAGAAACAGGAAAAATAATCAATAATCAAATCAATCAACGACAAGAATCTAAGGAACAAAAAACTCACTCAAGCTAGGTAGGCACGCGACGCATAGCGGATCGGTAGCGGCGACCTATGAATCGGAAAAGGGCAACTCTGCCCTCGCGTTCAAGAGCATTGGCGGCCGGGTGTCGAGTGAAATGACCAACGAGCGCTGAGGCTACCTCTTGGTAGAAAGCGGTGTAAAGTTGAGGAGCAAACCGGTACTGATCGTATCGGCCAAAATCCGGGCGACGATCGAGGAGCGCAGCCACTTGATGAGGCGCCAGTCGATGGTAGTCATCGACGTCGTAGAAGCCGAAAGGAACTGGGGACGGAACTCGAGTGCGAGTTCGCACATGGGGTTCCACCCAGCTATTATCGGCTGAGGTCACCGAGCCATTTCGTTCGAAAGGGCCACCGGGACTGAGTTGCGGGGTAGGAAGCCCACTTCCTCGGGGAGCTGGAGGAGGTGTAGCACCTCTCCCCACAACTGCTCGGTTCGAGATAACCTAAAAGATAGAACAAATAACAAGAATCGATTAATAGACAAGTTCATGAATAAGGATACAAAAAGAAAAGAGCTTACCGGTCCAGTAGGGAGACTATTGCTACCTGAAGGACGTCCTCGACCACGAAGTGGAGCTGGAACAAAACCGCGACCACGACCACGAACCCGAACCGGATCCAAACCTCGGCCGCGCGCCTGACCACGGTTTCTGGCGCGGCCTCGAGCACGAGCACCTCCTCCGTTTTGGTTCACAGGAACCAATGGAGTAGGGGATGAGTGGGGTGCCGCGTTGGCAGCACCCCGGATGCGAAAAGCTGGAACCGCACGGGGAGAAGAAATGGGAGCAGGTGCCGGAATTGAATGAGAAGGCGGAGCCTCGACGACCACGTCAAGGTCCATGCTCACCGCTTCAGGAGAAGACGGCGCAGCCGGGGACGCGTTTGGGACTGGAAAGTCAGAAGAATAGTCCTCGGTCATGGTAGACCTCTCGCCTATAGTCTAGAGAAGTAATAGCAAAACAAAAACCAGCTAGGGGTCAGCTAACACATACTCAGTCTACATAACTAACATAACAGAATGTACCCACCGGAAATGGGTGGGAAGGCACAACAATAGGTGCAGAAGACGATCGAGCACGGGTAAAAACAGGATACGGAGTAGAGGGGCGGGGCATTGGATGCTGGGTGAGGAAAGAAAGTGAGGTGAAGGGGCAATTTTTTATACCTTCATCTCTTCTTTTCTTGCTAGTATAGACCAGGACCGCGCCGATGACCAAGAGAAGCCAGGAAGAACTGTCGAGCGTTCGGCCCGAAGCCTCGAAGAGTGACCCATGGCGATTCCATTTGCCTGGAGTGGTAGGCTCCAGTTCCAACCAATGAGAAGCAGCGGTTGGGAGTTTCAAGCCTGGGTGAGGCCCAAGTGGTGCCCCTCGCATCGGTCGAATGACCTGACAAGAAGATCTGTCAAAAGACAGAAATAAATAAAAAACTAGTCTCAGTATATAAAACAAAAAAAAAAAAAAAAGAAAGAAAACGATTAAACGAAAGAAAGGAAAAGAGAAATCAGACGACTTACTCGTACGATGGTCGATCCGATCGAAGAAACGAGAAGACGGGAAGACGAGGTGGCGGTGACAATGTAGGACTTGGGGGTATATGTAACCTCTGAGTCCACGCTCAGAGGGTATCCCTCCAAACCCGAGTCGGAAGAGCGCACGCGACCAAGCGCGCAGGCCAGGCGCGCGACTGCGGCTCCAGACAGCCCGCGACCTGTGACAGGTTGTTTTTGGGCCGTTTCCTGGACAAAACACCCGGTAAACATCCAACCCCCCAACAAAACCAACAAAACTTGGTGAAACCAAGTAAAAACAGGTAAAAACTGACAAAATCAGACAAAACCTGGCAAACCCAGGTGAAACCAAGTAAAACCAGGTAAAACCTGGATAAACCTGAGTAAAACCCAACACCCCCCCCTGACAAAACCTGATAAAAACAGGTAAAATCAGGGGGAATCAGACAAAAACTAATAAAATCTCAGTAAAACCAGTGCCAACTGGGCAAAAATTGAACAAGTAAAATGGTCAAACCTCCTATACACCCAACAAAAACCTGTTTGAGGACAAAACAACCTCATCAGTAATAATACATAACTTAAAACACACTCAACAATTAAAATTAATACAAAAACAAAATAAAACAAAAATAAATAAATATAAAAAAAAATAAAATAAAAAAAATAAAATAAATAAATAAAGAAAACAAAAATACAAAAATATATACACAGAACATTAAAAATGGGCTGCTTTTCCTTCAAAGTTGGGGGAGGAAGCCACCCCTGGTTAACCACCTCCCCTACCAGTCATAAACAAGGAATAAAATCAAAAATTTCACACTTTATCAATTTCTCTGCTTCAAAATCTTCAATTCTTTTCATCAAACATCTCTTTCTCATAAAAATCAAAATAAAAAAAAAATAAAAAAATCCCAACACCATAAAATCAAAATTCTCAACATCATCAAACTCAAAAATCTCAACAAAACACAACTCAGAAGGCTATCTTAAAATACCACAAAAACATCATCAACATGAATCAACAACATCAAAACCACAAAACACACGACTACTCAAATTCACAACAACAACCACACCAGCAATAAAAATCCAGAACTCCTGTACACAAAATCAAGAAATAACACTTCCAGCACTTCAAGAATAAATTAATATCTCCAACCATCACCAAGACTCAATCAAGAATACCAGTAACTCTCCTAAGTCATTGTCTGGGGACAGACAATAAGTTGGGGGAGGATGTGGGATGCTTTATGGTATACCATATTGCTAAAATAAAAATTTTATTCATTTTCTCTTTCTTAGTCTATTTTCTCTATTTCTCTTTAGTTATCACTCTATATCCCTCCAGAATCAAACTCTACAGATCAAAATAACCTTACTAGCCACTTACAGTTTATTCATATCTCTACTCTCTCACACTCTACATCATGACTGGCACTGACACCCATCATTTACAACCCTCAAGGCTACATATACAGGATACATTGACAGGAAGCAACTGCACTCAACATACTACATGTAGCTGCATGAGTCCTGCATGACCAGTACAAAAGTATACATGCAGGCACAGCCGCTTGCATGAGTGGCTTGTCATTACCTAGCAACTGCATATTACATCATTAAAAACATTACACAACCCTGCAGAACACACATCAAGTCCTGACCAATCACAAGCACTCATTCGGCCTGCAGAAAACCTCACACCAGGCTGCACAATTCTGACCAATCACATCCAACCATTCAACATATGTATTCCTCATGTACCTAGTCACACTGCCTCATGTAGTGCCCCCCTTGGGGCCAAAATACCTCACTCTTTTATATATAAGGAGGCTCTCCTCCCCCTCAGTTGTATCTTTTTTCTTTTCCTCAGCAGAGTACTGCACCAGTGTTTCCCCTATAACATTACCCACCTGCTCAACATTATTATTATACTCTCTTACAAAATTACTTACAATATATACCATTGAAATAGCAATTATTAACAACTCTCAACACTTATATAAATAACCCTCCCCCTTATTTTTGGAGCCCCTTCAGCCAAATTGCACCTGGTTGAAGCCTTGGCCCTCTCATTACATATACTTACATACGAATACCTTACTCAAGACAACAATCCACGACTCAGACAACAGTTATCTTTTGATAACACTCCACTATCACTATATAAACCTGCCAATCTGAGATTGGTGGGCTTGTTTTAGTGTCTAGTGAACCAGGAAAGGCAGAGGCAACCTCACACATCCCTTTCCGCACTCAGCAAAAGATTCTCAGGAATACTTTTGAGCTTAACAACGTCCATTTGTCCATATCTTGATTCCTTCATTGATAAATAATAAAATTTTGAATTTTCTCCCTTCATACACAGGAATAATGACCACACCGCTGAAATCGTGAGCGGATATCCGCATCCGTGCGGATATCCGGATTCAATGCGCCCCTCTCTACTGCTGGTTGAGGGATGGATGGATGAATGAGAGACAGACAGAGGTAACAAAAAAGGAAGTTGCATCATGAATGCTGTCATGTTCCTTGCTAGAAAATGACATCAAAGACTCTCCAGATGCAGTTTTCACCTTTGTTGAGCCAGCACAATTTTTGCACAGTCACTGTGTGTGGAGATTGCCCTGGTGCTCACCCTGAGCTTGGACATATGCTGGGTGTGAGTCTTGTGATGACAAGGGACATCCCTTTTTTTCAATGGTGTTGAGAGGTTAACTTAACAAAGATCCCTCCTCCCCCTGGGGTGAATCATTGGTGGACTTACACAACTCCTACTTGCCCCTGAGGGGATTGGCAAAAATCAACTGCAGAGTTACATCACTGGAAAATCTCTCTTGTCATTTAATGTGCTACATGTGTGTGTGTGTGTGTGTGTTTCAAAGTTCTTTCATGAAGGGAAAGATAAACTTTTGTCTCCACTCAAGTTTTCTAAAATTGTCTGTTCTCCAAGTCAGAGTCAAAAGAGTGAATTAAACAAAAACTGAATCTTACATGGCAAACTTAAGCTATGTATACTAGACTGGGATTAGAATGAAACAGACTCAATTCAACAAATATTAAGATTAATGGTTTCATATACATTTTGGCTTGTGAGCTCTAAAAAATCAACTGAGTGGAATGTAGATCCTAGATCTTAATTTTTAGAAACCCAAGTCCAGTTTCTCATATCTGGCTGATAAAGCAAATTAACCAGTTCTTTTTTTTCAAGTTACACAAATTGACATCAAATTAAATGGAAAAGCAACTACCCACTGTTGTGACTAGCTTAACACAACCCCCTCAATCAGAGGGCCTGGTGAGCCAGACGGGCATAAACCAAGCCTCCAAGGGAGTATCTTGCAAACAAATTCTCAGTGTTGGCCTAGAAGCTTGGGCTTTTTGTGGCTCTTTCAGCCTCTTTGACACTCAACCCCATATAGCTCCCAGACCATTATGGAACTTAATTTGGTGTTTGGCTTCCTTGAATAGCTGAGGATTTTGCCTTTCATTCTACAAAAAGAAATCCCACACTTTCTGCAAACAAGCAACCATCCTTTTCATGGCATTGAGAGCCTTGATAAGAGCTCCATAAAAGCATAAAGGCTAGATGTTGTAGAATTTTTCAAAAGATCTGTGAGGTCAATCCAAAATGTTGAGTCCAAATAAGCTATTTGAAAGCTAGCTGAGGGATGTTGTAGATGGCTTCTGTTCCTAGGGGAAACACCAAAAAATGGAGGCCATGTAGGCCTGTTTAATGATGGTCAAATCAGCAGAACCAATTTCAAATGTAATTTGACAGATGAAGTGGCAACACAAGAATTTGCCCAGTTGATTGGCCCCAAATTCCAGGGCAAAGATGTGACTTTGATTGCAAGCCCCTCCTTCAGAGGCTTGCTTTGCACCCGCCTGGCTCAATGAAGACCAAGAATGAATTCTTCACTTCTCAAGTCAGCACCATCGTCCCTCCAGATTGCATAGACTAATGTGTTCACAAGGGCAACCTAAACAAGAAAATCAAAAAAATGACTTTTGAATGCGACCACCAAAAGATTTCAAGAGGATGGACTGTAAATCTTTATATTAGATGAGTGTAAACAAAAAGGCTATTATCAAAAACTTAGTAATCCAAACCTGGTTGAGCCATTGGATAATTTTAGGGTGGATTTTTCTTGATCTAATCGCAGGTATGCATCCTCCAATAATTCTTTATGGTTTCTTATGACCTCCTCGGAAAGGAAGTCTTTTCGCAATAAAGCGTGGAGATTTTGTTTCAAGAATTCTTGACATTCTGGCTTGAGTCTCTTGATCAGGATGGCTCTGGAATAATCATCAAACATGTCACCTAAGATCATCGCCAATTCGGTCGGCAAAACCTGAAGATCTGGCAAAAAACTTCGTCGCCAAACGTCATTCAAGATCTCTCTTGAATTTGCGTTATCAGTAATCTTCTTTAGTATATTGTTTAAAGTGTGGAATTCGTGGCCATTGTTGGTTTTTTGAAATTCTTTTAATCGACTATTGACTTTTTGCAGAATATAAGTTCTCTTGGAACCTCTTATCGTATTCAAAATATAATCTTTTGGATAGAAATGAAGAATTATATATATTAATGTTGGGGGTTGTCAGATTTTTTTTTTCGCTTGGTCTGGTAAACTGTCTGTAAGCATGTAGCTAACGCTGGACTTACAAATTCGGTCAAATACCGGTATGTTCCTAATAACTCTCTGTGTACGTGACAAACTATCAATCAAAATAGCGGCATTTCTCTTATCGATAGTTGCAAGTTCTCTCTCTGTCGTCCGTAGTATGGCTTGCCATGTTGTCGGGCTTTCGTGGAGCCGAAGTGTGGTTGTGGGGAGAATATGTGAATGCTCGTAGTCCCTTATTGCCTTGAGGACTGATAAGCTGTATCTGTGGACGCGTTCTTCCTTTCCAACGTTCGCATCTTTTAGCGAATCTAAATGCTCGCTTGCGGCTCTGAGTTGAACGTCAAGGGGCTTGTTTAATGACATGTGCTTTTGCAATGTTGTCGACAGGTTGCTGTCCCATTCTCGGACGGTTTCTCTTTCTGGCACTGGCTCTTTGGGTGTCATCATCGGAGCTGTTATTTCTGTTATTTCTTCGTGCAAAAACTCGGCAAAGTGAGTCACCTTGTGTTTAATGACCACTGGTAAATCCGTACGGTAGAGATCATAACCAAGCTGGTGGACCAGGTGGCTAAGTTTGATGACATAGTCGAGCGACACAATGTCAGAAAGCAGAAGTGCTTCAATGAACAATTACCATGAAATCAAAGAACTGTTAACGACGGTACAAGGATGGCAAAGGAGTGATTTGAAACGTGATTGACTAACCAATTCTTTCTATCTGCTCTTTTTCAGCGCGAACATGGGGATAAAACTCTATCACCGGCCCCAAGCTTCTTGCTTGGAGAAGTTCTTCCGCGTAATTCATCACCAAGTTAGCCTTGTCTTGCAAAACTTTCATTGGGAGTTCACTCGCCGTTAGTTGACCACCTTTTTTTTTGGACTGAGCTTGTGCCATGGAGTTGCTATCGCGTGTTTGTACTCTAGCCAGACCCAGAAGAACTTTCTCTTCATGATCTCCGAAGATTTTGAGTTGATTACTGATCCTCGAGACTAACTTATAATATTCGAATAACCGATCGTAAGGGAAGCCATTTCGAAAGAATTCGCAAAGTTGTTCATAAGCTTCCACCAAAGGCTTGAGATTTTCTTTAGCAGCAACCATTTTAAGTTGCTCCCAGAATATAACATCGTTCGAAATCATCAGGGGTGCTGTTTTCTGGCATATTTTGATGACTGAGAGTCAAGAGTGTCAGGTGGATAAGAACAGTTAGTAACAAGATAGGATAGCTTAACCACATACGCTCTGTGACCACATTATAGTCGCGTTCGCATGACTGCACCCAATAAGCGCAGACCGGAAAATAATCCAGTTCCAGTTGGTAAGGTTTGGGGATCACTTTTTGTACCTCACGATAAAAGTCTTCTTCCCGGTTGAATTGTCTGTTCTGTAAGACAATACTACTGAAAGCTTCTAGCATTCCCAAGATTCTCCCCCTTCCATCGAATAGGTCTTTCTTTCGTTTGGGCGTGAGCTTCGGAAATCGGTCAACAGTTTGATATATAGCCATTTGTGTAACTTCATACGCGGCAAACGCATTACATTAAATTGGTTAAACTTGACAAGCCATTGAATGAGAAGTTAGGATACTTACCCATTGAACACAAAATTCGATAACCTTTCCATTTCAGCTTCAAACTCTCAAAATCGAGCGCAAGCTCCACTGAGGTTTGAGTATCCTTGATGAAGCCCAATGCGTTTTGTGTTTTCTTGGCCCAATCTGAATTCTGATACGTTGTCTCCACCTCTTGTACATTCATGAACCAATCGTGCAATTGATTGAGCGAGGTGTCCGAATATGTCGCTTGCGCATCAATTCTTCCTGAAAGCTTGATGTTAAGCATGCTGCCGACTGTTTCCAAAGAAGAAGATAAGTGTCACCAGGCTCCTTGAAGAATATATTGAAACGGCCAAGGCACTACTGATACATAGTCGGAAAAAATCTTCTCACATATCAAGTTGTGAATCAATCTATCGTCTAAATCGATTCCATAATCAGGAACATATGTCAATCTGAATTTGTTTGAAAATTAGAGAAAGGCTTATGTACCTTTACGGATCTCGAATGATCCACTTAGTATTTTCAGGTGTTGTTTCCTTGTAAGACCAACAGGCACATACAATTTAAGTGGTACATCAACAGGAATTTTCTTGGAAATTTGGTCATAAAAACTGTGGACTAAATTTACATCATGCCGGCAAACAAACAAAAATCCGATCAGCTCGGTAACAATATTTGTGATTTGAATAAGTTTTACAGAGCACCACCATTTGAGCGCAAAGAAGATTGAGCCAGAGTAGTCAAGTTTGTAGGAAGGACAAGCTTACTTGTCTCATCGATCGTAGGATCCTCGAGGAAGCCACCCAAACAACTACCAAGACAGCCAAGCAAAATTGAAGTCACAATGTATCTTAAGCGATTCATTGTCGAAGGGAGCGGTGAGATGCAGCGATGGGATGGTGGAGGGGAGAAATTGATAGCCCTTGCCTCATCAAGAGCCTGTTGACACGATGCACGCATGTCCCACTGGTCAAGTACATGCGGAAAAAAGATTGATTTCAAGGGGATGGGTGCAAGCATTCCGTTTGAAGAATGCATGGACATACCGGCCCGTGTGTGTGCCTTGGGTTCTCTTGGGTTATCAGTACTTGATCAATACATATTTGTAAAAATAATCTCCCTAACAGTTCACACCCAGGTTTCATCTCTTTTGGTCATCATAGGTCATCATTGGTGTTTCTCCAACGTGTCACAACTCTCAGTTTGTCTCACAGATCTTCCATGAGGTGCTCTCAACACATCTGTCTTGAGGGTAAGGAGGGGGCCGATGCATGACAGTCAAATCTCTCCCAGGTGAGCTTCTGGACCACTGCGAGAAGTGCCAAGGGCGGGTCTTGGTGCACAAATTTTGTTGAGTTTTTGAGGTTCTTTGGCTACTCCTCCCTGAATTCACTCCCTCTTTCCCTTTCCCTTCTCTCTTTATTCTCTCTTGAATTATCTTGATTTAGACTGAATTGTAGTATTTCACTGCTGGTTTTATGTTGAATCTTATGCACCCTTTGGAGTCTAATTAGAACTATCAATAGCAATTTTATCAACAACTCCTGTCTTTGTGATTGAACTCTTTCTTTTTCTATTCCATTATTTGATTCATTAAAATCTGATTGTCTAGAATTAACAACTCTTATTCTCATGATTAATCTTACTAGCTTGTCTAAAAGAGACTGAGAAGACTTGTCTGGTTATTTCTTCCATGAACTCATATATTTCTCCTCTCAGTTTTTATTCAAAACCACTCTTTATTCATTTTCATTTCTACCACATTTTGTGTACTTGTACTTAGTCTATTAAAGCCTGGCTAGAGATACTCGTGAATGAATAATCATTGGTTCTCACACTCTTTTCCCTGAGCCTCTCCCAAAAAAAGAAAACCCTTCCTTTTTTGGCCCTCATTTCTTGTGCACTGAGCTCAAAATTTAAACAAATTTTCAACCTGAAAAAACCCATTCCATTCTCATGTCAATTTCTTGTTGGTGAAGTAAAATGTACCACAGACAACAACTCTTCTTTTGGATCTAGCCCAATTAGAAAATTGAAAGGTTTTGATAATTTGATGATTTCTGTGATTCTTTATATAGGTCAAAACCTACTTGCAAAAGTTGGCTTGATTGCCTGACAATTTCTCCAGGGTGATTTCTGCTTATAATCATTTTAGCAAAAACAAGGGTGAGAAATTGTTATATTTCATAAATCATTTTTATGATCCAAGTATACATTATATAAAGGAGTGATGCTTGCAGTGACAACCTGGTTCATTTCAAAGTAAGAAATGTTTGTTGAGAGTTGTTTATAAGGCATAAGAGATGAAATGTGAATTTCTCAAGATTGCATATCATCCTAAGTGACCAAAGCTAAAAGTTAGTCTTTAGCCTGAAACTTAAAGGGAAGACTTTCAGCACCTTTGGTGCAGAAGATGGAAAACATGTCGATTTTTTAGAATTTAACCCTACCATACAGGCCCTCAATGTGAGGGAGGAAAGAGGGTGGATTATTAAGATCAGTGAGACTGGATGATTCCCAAAGTATGAGAGCTATGAAATCTGAGCTTACATTTATAAAATAAGATGACCTTTAATTTACAAAAATGAGCAAAATGAGAAATCATAATATATTAACTTATGAAAGTGCTCGTTTGTCATGAGAGTTTATCTTGGTGGCCCAGGTGGCACAGCATGACCAGCCCACAGCTCCATATAACTGTAACAGTTTGACAGACATCCTTTGGCCCAGAAGTCCAAGCCAGATATGATTGAAGAATGAGTTTATGAGCAAGCTTCACCTTCATCACTGTATCAAAAGTCCACCCATAAGGGCAGTCAAAGGTCACATAACCTGGCCTTCTCATATCCCAATTAAGTCTTGCTGTTGCTGGGTACGGTTTGTCATGAGGGGGCTGGTTTCTTAGCCTAATTATAAGGGCCTGTGGCCCTGTACCATATGGCATGAAAATTCATCTTCCTCAGATTTTCATATCATCACAAGCAAACTGTTCCAAAAGCTAGTGTTTGGCCTCAAAGTCAACAATTTCAACAACACCATCTCCTCACTTGTCACAAACTTTGGTGTAGACACTAGACCAGGTTTCTACAAAAGAATGTAACCCCTTTGGATTACATAATAATATGTATTAATCTAAATCAATAAAGATTTACCTCTTTGAATATTTATCTCTCTCATGATGATTAATGTACCTCTCAAATGGAAATAATAATCAAATTCAAAGGATAATTATATCTTGTGTTTATCCAAGAGATGATTATCCTGTTTATATCTCTTGTGTGTATATTTATTATGTTTATATCTCTTATGTGTATTTTCTGAAATCAAAGATATTCAACACATGTATGTTTAGCATGCTTTGAATATCCTGACACTTTCCCCCAAGGAATAGTGTAACGATAAGGGGACTGCACTGGTCCCAGAAGCAGTTTGACCCCTGCTCTGTAATATTTAAAGGGATGACTCTTTCCCTGAGATTCATCCCTCAGAAAATATTACCGACAATGAAACCAATCCAATCCAATACAGTATAGGCCGAGCCGATTTATCAGATCAGATCATTTTTTTCAATACCAGGTATCAAAACATAAGGGATTGGATTGCACTAGCAATCCAATCCCATGGTATTGGATTGGGATTGGGATTGCATTGCAATCACAATCCAACACCCAAAAGCTGTGGGCTGTCTGCCTCATGCTTTGGTATAATCCAGGGTATTTGATCTGATCCCCAGATCAAAAATAGACCCAATACCGGGTATTGGGATCCAATCGCTCCACCCAATCCCAGTTTTCCAATAAATTGAGATTGGATTGGAGATTGATCCAATCCAAAATACCCGGTATTGGGTCTATTTTTGATCCAATCCCCAATCAATACTTATCTGGGGATCAGATTGGTTACATTGTTGATATTACCATACACAACCTTACTAAATATCACCTTCTAATAAATAGTGAGTGGGGTTTTGTCAGCCACAGAGTACATGTCACAGTACCTTTCATGTACCAAGTAACTGCAACACCTGCACTTATGTACATAAGTACTTATCCATAATGTTGATTACCTTTACCTCTTGTTATCTTATCTTTATTATTAACTTATCTTAGTTATCTTACAGTTATCCTATCTGTTAATTACTTATCTATTAAATACATACCTGTGTTCTACATAAGTAATTATCACTTACCTTTCACTCCCTTGTCCGTGAAATACCTGTACCACAAGTTATCCCTCTGCTACAGTATTTTCACGGTCAAATATTATTACAAATAAATATGTACATGTATTAAATAATAAGTATTAAGTGTCAATAGAATTAATACATTCAATACATGCACTGATCACAATTATGACTACATTATTAGAGGATCTGTTAAGTACACGCATCAAGAGCTACTAGTACATTGATCAACTAGTACACAATTATGATGTCACTTACAGATCATGACAAATAATGATCAGTCACTCAATTGATGTGCTCATTCTCCTGGCCAAAGCTCCCTTGATCCTGAGCGCTCATTCTTTCCCCCCTTCAATATTCTGGAACTTATAATCAGTGCTTCTTTCACTGATTAATCCCCAGAATATTCAGACACCAGTTAAACCAGTTAACATTTATATTGATACAGTACACGTAACCAACATAAATCTTGTCTACATTTATTGTTCTTAAGCTTCAGTACTCTTACTCAACTTATCCACAGTATTCATAGCCTTGCTGAATATTCCCATCAACAATACCTGTTAATCTTCAACTAATTTTGTTAAAGCTTAATAAGTATTGTTAGCCCATTCCCTTTGGGGAATAACCAAATCAATCCCAGGTGAGTCTTAGTACCCTGGATGCCTATTAATACCTTGTATTGATCCGGATGCGCTGTTGATAGCAAGCCTCTCAGTAAAGACCATACTGATAGAGTGAAACCTCCTCTTTACAGGACTGGTATTAATCACCCACTACCTAACACTCACCACGCTCAAAAACTTCAGTCAACTCATAGTAACAACCTTTTTACTATTAAATACTCAGGTTAGTTACCCAGAGGCTGACAATTGGGGGTCTGGCCTAATTGGAATTCCGTGACTAACATATCTCCGTGCTTCTTTTTACCTTTTGTCCCCAAAACATTTACTACTAACAATGGCCTTCTGAAGAACAAATGCCGGAAGTTTTGCCATTTATTAGACAAATAGATAGTACAATTGCAGAAGAAGCTAGTAGATATTACCACAACCACCCGGATAACATTACAGTTATTGAAAGAGTAGAAAAAGTGAAAG